TGTAGGGGATGTTCCTGAGTACAGAGATGTAAGGCTAGAGTTGTTCTCTAGTATATTCTTATAAGAGTTCTGGAGTTCAGAATTGTATGGCTAGGGTCCCGCATTAAGGTAAAGAGTACCATTAAAGTTGATATAAATTATTGCCATTGTCACTACATTGATACAGATGATTACGTTCTTTCTGCAGAAGTATTTCAAATAAATCACATGTTATGATGTATTTAACACAAAGATATTTGTTCGAACTTAAGAATTTGGGGAAAATATACAACCTTGCTGTCACTTCAAGGGGCATGTTGTATTGTTATTTCTTTTCGATAATAATTGATGCGATGTTACCATTTACTTCAAGACATTATCACGTTGGAGGTTGATAGGATTATCTGTCATGGCAGGGAAATATTAACCTTACAAAAGTATGGGGGATTAGTGATGGGACCACATACGTTATGCTGATACAATAATACAATGACGTCACAATAAACTCAAACTTATGACGTCAAAATAACAGACGTATCTTGGAAACCAAGATTACGCGATGATGGTTATCGATGAGCAGACGACTGTTATTTAATAGCAGCGGGTCGCCTCCACCCAGCGGAGGCTCCCCTACATCCCTCGCGCACTCCCTCAGACTACAAGAGGGCTCTCCAACCTTTCGCGGAGGTTCTTCAACTCCCCGTGTTGGCCCTTCATCTCCCTCTCCGGAAGGAACTCCTCGTCCATCCCGGGAACTCCGTCCAAAGCCTATATTACACAGAAATGGTCGACCGCAAAGTACAGCCAGACAATTCATGCACATGGCTGACCTCATGACAAGCAAAGGCTACCGACTAGGGCCGAAGATCGGGGATGGTACATACGCGACTGTCCGAGTGGTGGAAAGGGAGCGGGACGGTACGATCATGGCGGCCAAGATTGTGGACACAAACATACGCCCAAACACGTCTTTTGTGAAACATTTCCTGCCGACCGAGCTGAGCATTTCTATCTGTCTGAGTCACAGGAACGCCATCAATACACACGAGGTTATTCTGTGTGAAGGGTTTGTCTTTATGATTATGGATTATGCTGTCCGCGGTGATCTTCTGACCCTGATTCGACAAAATGGCAGTATGTCGGACATGGAAGCACGCCAGACGTT